TGGCTCCGCCCCGCCCATCTGGCCGATTCCTAGCGAGTTCATTGGTTCTGGGGAGCCTGGCTCCGCTCAGGTGCCGGCCGGGCGCTGCGGACGCGGGCCTGTGCGGCTTCAAACTCAGTTCAGGGGCTTCCAGCAAGTCCGTTGATAGGGACCTGGGGTGACCCCTGTGTGGAGCCCCTGGCCAGAGCGGGTCGAGCCCGACCGCCTACTTGCTGGGGGAACGTGCAGGGTGCAGCTCCCCAACTCTCCCGGCTGCAGAGGGCCTGGTCTCGCCTTCCTACCCACCAGCCTCACTGGGCTGCGGGGCGCCCTCCGCAGCGATGCCGGAGCAGGACCTGGTTCCCCCTTTCTGGTGCCTTCACTGTAGCCTCCAGCCCTTGGATCTCCGCTCTCTCCCTCTCTTTTCCATTCTCGTTTGTCTGTCTTTCCATTGGTCCGGGCTCCCCACGTGCTCTTCCGTGTTCGCGGGCAGGACGCAGGCCCGGGGGTGGGGGGAAGGTGCCCCTCCCTGCCCTCGGCCTGTCATCTCCTGCCCTAGAGGCCCCAGCGGGCGGGCGGGAGGTGAGCGCGGCTGTCCTTGCGCCTGGACTTCCGGGATCGCGGAGGTGGGAGCTGGGCCCTGGAGAAGGAATGGAAACGGGGAATTGGGGTGCACAGGGGCGGCGAGTGCTGAGATCCGGGCAGCATTTCACTCCGGGGTCCCGGGTCGCCCTGCCCGTGCTGTACCCAGCTTTGTGTCCCCTCTCCCAAGACTTCAGGGCTGGGTGCTGTGGACCCGTAGGAGGTGACCTGTGCCGAAGCCGGGAGTCCTCGAATAACCCTCGGTAAGTGTCTCCGCGTTCTTTCCTCCCCGCAGTCCGCAGTTCCTGGTCCTTCGCCGGTGTCCCCGGGGCCCAGCGACTGTGGATGGCAGAAGCCCAGAGTGGGACCGGCCAGCTGCAGGAGCAGAAGAAAGGTAGGACACCCCGCCCTGGCCTCGGAATCCGCTGCCCCGCACTGTGCCCTCCCCTCACAGGGTCAGATTGCATGAACCGGGTTCTCCCAGGCCCTCGGGTGTTCCTGGGAGACAGGGGCTTTGATGCTTCTCTCCCCTCCCCGTCCCCAGGTCTCTTGATAGCCGTCAGCGCCTCCGTGGATAAAATCATCACGCACTTTGGGGCTGCCCGAAACTTGGTTCAGAAGGTGAAGTTGTCTGTGGGAGGATCTGGGGGTTGAGGAGGTGAATGTAGTTCTGGGGGCGCAGAACTTTGGACGGAAGCGCGCTGTTGGTATCTCTGGACCCATGCCCACTGCGCTGCCTCCAGGCCCAGTTGGGGGACAGCCGGCTGAGCCCAGATGTGGGGCACCTGGTGCTGACCACCCTCTGTCCGGCTCTCCATGCCCTGGTGGCTGACGGGCTGAAGCCTTTCCGAAAGGACCTCATCACTGGGCAGCGCAGGAGCAACCCCTGGAGCGTGGTGGAGGCATCGGTGAAGCCAGGTGAAGTGTGGGACTCGGCCCAGGGCCGGGAGGGAGGCCGGGCTGGGGCTGGGGCTGGGGCTGGGCTGACAGCTGGGGTTGTCCTCAGGCTCCAGCACCCGGTCCTTTGGAACCCTGTATAGCCAGGTCAGCCGTCTAGCCCCGCTGAGCAGCAGCAGAAGCCGCTTCCACGCCTTCATCCTGGGCCTCCTCAAGTGAGTGGCGTTCTTTCTGGTGCCCCTCCCATGGCCTGGGTCCTGCAGGGGTATCTCAGGTGGGATCCCCCAGGTTCCTGGCGCAAACCTCTCCTGTTCCAATCTCATCTCCCACCCCCTGCCTAGAGGGCGCTGGAGTCCTCCACCTCCCTGAGCTTGTTCCCTTTTCTCCCCCAGCACTAAGCAGTTGGAGCTGTGGTTTTCCAGTCTGCAGGAAGATGCAGGTCAGAGGTTCAAATGGGAGAGGATGGGGCTGCTAGGCTGTGAGGGAAGGAGGAAAGGGGATCTGTTCTGCTGGTTCCCACTAATGCCAGGATGATCTTAATCTGCTCTGCGATCTTATTACTCTTCTGCTTAAAACTTTTCCAAGGAGTCCCTTAGCCCACAGGGGGAAAGACCCAAATCTTCACTATAACCTCCCGTCTTGATTATTGGCCTCTGCCTTCTTCTCTTGCCTCTAAGTCTGGGGCTTTCCCTGGTTCCTTGACAGGCTTCCTTTCCGATTCTTTCTTCCACCTAGAATAGGACTTCCTGCCCCTCACTAACTTTCATTCATCCTTTAGATTTTACAGTGAGGCTTCACCTTGCCCTCAGACTAGGCTAACCCTCACCCCCTATTTTGCTCCCATGGCCCAGTCCTCCTTTCTGTTACTCAGTTTCTTATCACCACTTGTTCTATATGTGCTTCCCTCTCTAGGCAGTGGTTTTACATGGGCAGGGAGGTATCAGCCCTGTTCCCCACCATGGTCTTCTCTGCCCCAGTGCCTGGCATAGAATGGGGCCTGGGGGGATGTTTGTTGATGGGTGGGCTGATGCAGGGAGCCCTCTGGGACTAGGCTGAGGGCAGGGACTAATGTTAGCCTGCTTCTTTTCTAGGCCTGCTGTCCCTCCTGTACCTGCCCACTGGATTCTTCTCTTTGGCCCGGGGTGGCTGCCCCTCCCTGTCCACAGAGCTGCTGCTCCTGCTGCAGCCATTGTCGGTGCTCACCTTCCACTTGGACCTGCTCTTTGAGCATCACCACCACCTGCCCCTGGGCCCACCTCAGACTCCTGCCCCCCCAGGCTCACCGCCAGCCTTGCAGCAGACTGTGCAAGCCATGCTGCACTGGGGGGGTCGGCTGGCCCAGAGCCTTCGTGGGGCTTCTGAGGAGACCCCTCCAGGCCCTTCAGCCCCCTCAAGCCCTCCCAAACCGGGCAGCTGGTGGGAGCAGCTGACCCAGGCCTCCCGGGTCTATGCCTCTGGGGGCACGGAGGGCTTCTCCCTTCGTCGGTGGGGATCCAGGTGTCCCGGGACTGTGGCTGAGGAAGCACAGGAGAGATCGTTGCCCACAGAGGACACGGCACCAGGCAGAGGCGTGTGGCTGGGAAGACTGTTTGGAGTGCCTGGGGCCCTCACAGAAACTGAAAGTGGAACTCTAAAGTCCAGGTAATGGGGCACCTGGTCCCCTCCATGACCTCTGACCCCATCCCACATCACCCAGTTACCCAAATATGAAACTAGAGTGATCCTCTAGGTCAGAAGTTGTCAGTCTGTTTTTCTACAGCCATGAGCTAAAAATGGTTACATTCTTGAGAAGTTACATTTTAATGGTGATATAAGCACCTATATGATGTTCTCCATTTGCCTCTTGGCCCTAAAGGGCTAAATAGTAAGTATTTGCTGAACTCTGGCTTCAGATACTCTCCAGTGATCCTCTAGGTCTCTCTGAGTGTACTGGTTCCCAGAGGTCCTTTAGTGACTTTTGTATTGTAGACCTGTTTTCACCTCCCTAATCACCCTAACAAACTGTCTCTCTGCCCTTAGCAGTGACCAGCTCCTGATCTCTTTTGAAGCACAGGCTGCTCAGCCTTTTTCTCCCTCCAGAGCCCTGGGTGTTTTTTGTTTTTTTTCTGGAGGTGGGGTAAACTCTGTGACCCTGTATCCCTTCCTCCAGGAGACCATCCAGCTGGCTGCCTCCTACAGTGAACGTGCTGGCTCTGGTGAAGAGGGTGGCACCTTCTGAGACTCCCAGTTCACCGGAGGAGCTTGAGGCCTCAGCACCCAGCACGGTGCAGACCCATCGGTAAGGAGAATTGGGGAGAATGCATTGGTGTGCACGTGTGTGTGTGTGTGTGTGTGTGCGCGCGCATTTCTGTCTTCAGAGGGGAGGGGAGGTAGTTTAAAACGCTGTGGGGCTGTAAAGTCAGACAGTGCTTAGTTTGCATTACATTTCTGCTATTATTGGTGTGAACTCATTTCTCTGAGCCTTGGTTTCTTTCTCCCTTTTTAAAGAGGATAATTTATACCTTTATTGTGGTTGTTAGAGAGACTAAACATAATTTTATAAGAGCATCTGGCACAGAGGAGGTGCCCAGTTAATGACAACTATGTATTTGGATGTGCCCATGTGCATACCCTGAGGGATTCTGCTTCCCTTCAGTGGGGTCTTCTAATTTGGCACCAGAGATTGCTTCTGCTTTAGGGTCTGGCTTCCTTTGGTTTCTTTTTTTTTTTTAAATATATTTTATTGATTTTTTACAGAGAGGAAGGGAGAGGGATAGAGTCAGAAACATCGATGAGAGAGAAACATTGATCAGCTGCCTCCTGCACACCTCCTACTGGGGATGTGCCCGCAACCAAGGTACATGCCCTTGACCGGAATCGAACCCGGGACCCTTCAGTCCACAGGCCGACGCTCCATCCACCGAGCCAAACCGGTTTTGGCTCCTTTGGTTTTTTAATCCATTGAATTAGGTTTCTTGATTTTTCATTCATTCAGTAATACTTTTCAAGTACTTACTATGTGCCAAGCATTATGCTAGGGGAGGGAAAACAAAGATAAACATATTGGAACCCCTACCTTCAAGGAGCTTGTAGTCCAGTGGAGATACCAATGAGCAAACAAGTGGTTAAAATTCTGTATGGAGCCGGCTGGTGTGGGCCAGTTGGTTGAGTGTTGTTCTATGCACCAAGAGGTCACTGTTCGATTCCTGGTCAGGGCACATGCCTGGGTTGCAGGTTCGACCCCCAGTAGGGCGAGTGCAGGAGGCAGCCAATCGATGTTGCTCTCTCATTGAGGTCTCTCTCTCTCTCTCTCTCTGTCTCCCTTTCCCTCTAAAACAAGAAAAGAAAAACAATAAAAACATATTTTAAAAATTCTGTATGGAAAAGATTGTAGGAAAGGGGCCATATAGACAGGGCTTCTTCCCAAGGTTGCAGGCTCAGGGAAGGCCCAGTGATGGTGCAGGGTGTGTCAGAAGGAATAGGATGCAAAAGTGGAGAGGCCCAAGCGTAGTGAGGTACTATGGACACATGATTGGTTGTGCCCAGAGTGGAGGTTGTTGGCAGCAGTGACAGGAAGCCATAGGCTTCAGTAGGCCTAGACCTCACTGTGAGGTAGGGGGAACCATTGAAGGGCCATAAGCTGGGGGCTATGCTTGCTTGTTTTTGAAGGATCTCTGTCTGCTGTGTGGAAAATGGAGCTGGGGAGGGAGGTCATGAGAGATGA